GCGGTAAAAGTAATGGTTTCACTCGTAGAAACAACCAGAAGAACAATAACGGCGGTGGTGGTAGCGGCGGCAACAGCAACAACAGCAACAGCAGAATTCGTAATATTAGTAGTAGAAATAATCAAAATAATACTAGCCGCCGTCGAACGAGTACTGGTAGTAGTAGTAGTAGTAAAACTACTACTACTACTACTGCTACTACTACTACTACTACTACGACTACTACTACTACTACTACTACGACTACTACTACTACTACTACTACTACTACTACTACTAATACTACCACTACTGCTGCTACTACGAATGCTAGTAGTAGTAGACGCAGTGGTAGTAGTAGTAGTAATGGCCGTAGAAGTAAGAAGAAACACGTAAGAGTGGTGGTAGGGGAACAGATGCAATGTAGAAGATGAAACACAAATAGTAGTAACCGTAGTTGGTGTAGTAGTAGTAACAGTAGTAGTCGTCGCCGTAATAGTAGTCGCAGACATGGCCGTAGTACCCGTTGTAGTCGTAGTGGTAGTACTAGTCGCCGTCGTCGTCGCCGTAGTCGTAGTAGTAGTGGTAGTAGTAGTAGTAGTTGTTGTAGTAGTAGTAGTAGTAGTAGTAGTAGCAGTAGTAGTATCAGTAGTAGTAGTAGTAGTAGTAGCAGTAGTAGTAACAGTAATAGTAGCCGTCGCATTGAAAGTCGCAATAGGGCAAAAGAAGTAGTAGAAGCAGGCGCGGTAATAGCAATGGAGGTCGCAGTGGTAACGGTAGCCATAGGAATCGCAGTAATAGCAGCAATAGCATTACTAGTGGTGGTAGTCGTAGTAGTCGCAGTAGTAGTGGTAGCAATAACAATCGCGGCAATAGTAATATCCGTGGACGCGGCCGTGGTAGTATTAGAGGCATCCGTTGGTTTAGTGGTCTTACCGCAAACAAGCTTAATCGCGTTGGTCGTCGATGTCATCGTAGCATTGATAGTGGGAGTAGCCGTGCCTGTGAGACTGGTATTACTAGTGGTAGGCATCCAGGTACGAGTAAGAAGGGTACCTTTGATAATCGCATAGGTCGCGGTACTACTCGTAGTAGTCGGTGTTGCAAGACTCCTAGTACTTGAAGGTAGGCCGCAGCTGGACGACCATAGTAGGCGTAGTAGTAGTAGTAGCAGCAGCCGCAGCAGCAGTAGTAGTTGTCGTAGTAGAAGTAGTAGTAGTAGCTGGATTAGTCGTGGTAGCAGTGGTGGTAGTAGTAGTAGTAGTAGTAGTAGTAGTATTAGTAGTAGTAGTAGTAGTAGCAGTAGTAGTAGTAGTAGTAGTAGTGGTAGTAGTAGTAGTAGTAGTAGAAGTGGTGGTGGTGGTAGTCGTACTAGTGGTAGTAGTAGTAGTGGTAGTAGTAGTAGTAGTAGTAGTAGGAGTAGGAGTAGGAGTAGTAGTAGTAGCAGTAGTAGTAGTAGTAATAGTAGTAATAGTAGTAGTAGTACTAGTAGTAGTAGTAGTAGTAGTAGTAGTAGTAGTAGTAGTAGTAGTAGTAGTAGTGGTAACAATGGTAACAGGAGCTAGTAGCAGTAGTAGTAGTAGCAGTAGTAGTAGTAGTAGTAGTAGTAGTAGTAGTAGTAGTAGATGTAGTAGTAGGAGGAGAAGGAGAAGGAGAAGTAGTAGCAGTAGTACGGGTAGCAGCAGCAGCAGCAGCAGAGGCAGCAGTAGTAGTAGTAGTAGTAGCAGTAGTGGTAGTAGTGGTAGTAATGGTGGTAGTCGTAATAGTAGGAGTCGCAGTAGTAGTAGTAGTAGTAGTAGTAGTAGTAGTAGTAGTAGTAGTAGTAGTAGTAGTAGTAGTAGTAGTAGTAGTAGTAGTAGTAATAGAGGTAGTAGTAGTAGTCGTCGTCGTCGTCGTCGTAGTCGTCGTCGTCGTCGTAGTAGTAGTAGTAGCAGTAGCAGTAGCAGTAGCAGTAGCAGTAGCAGTAGCAGCAGTAGTAGTAGTAGTAGTAGTAGTAGTAGTCGTAGTCGTAGTCGTAGTCGTAGTAGTCGTAGCAGTAGTAGCAGTATTGGAATTAGTCGTAGTAGTTTTGCTGACATCGGCAGTCCCAATGAGACTGCACGTGCTAGCGGGAGGGGACCTTGTAGCACGAGGGATACGATCATCAGGAGTGGTAGAGGTGGTAATCGTCGAAATCAAATGAACACGAGTGGTAGTAAAACGAAGTACGCAGACGGAACGATTGACATGCATGCGGCCACATGTGTATGCAGCTCTAGCCCAGGCCAGCAGCAACATAGCCCTGCCTTCGCAGAGACTGTGCCCCAGAGCTGGCGGACAGCAGTGGACAGCGACGAATTTCCGCCGCCACCCACGGCGGGACCACCACGCTGCGATTGCAAAGGTTCAGCACTTCAGGAGCGGCAAGCACAACCAATATGAGTGATCCTCCGCATCCTTCTCCTCCTCCGCCTCCTCCTCCCCTTCCTGATCGCCATTACTTACCACCATCATCACCCCAAGCTCACCATGAGCCTTTGGG